CACTGTTGGGCTGAATATAAACGAACTGATAACAACGGCGCGTACAGGCAATACAAACATATAAGGAACATATGCACAAAGGCAATAAGAGAAGACAGGCTTCAGTTCCAGACCAAGCTGGAGTTTCCCAACTGCTTGGTCCTAATGGCCAGACCAATAACGACAGTGATGCCGCTAACCTTTTGGCTGAACATTATTCCCGGACATTCCAGCTGACCCACATCAACCATACTGACGAAAGCTTCACCTGCAACTGTACAGGACTTTCCGAAGTGGACCTGAGTGCTGACCTGGTGCTCCGTAAACTGCAGCAAATAAGAAACGACAGTTCTCCTGGTCCGGACATGGTTCATTCCGCTGTTTTGAGGGAAGCAGCTTCAATCCTGGCGACACCACTTAGCGTGATGTTTGCACACTCGCTAAGCAGAGGCAAACTACCGGAAATATGGAAGCTGGCCCACATCACACCAATTTTCAAAGGACGTCGACGCAGTGAACCCTCAAGCTACCGACCAGTGGCCCTTCTCTCCATACCTTCAAAAATTATGGAATCCCTAGTATTCGACGGCATACTAGAACACTTATCATCCTCAAAGTTCTTCTCGCCTCAACAGCATGGTTTCAGAAAAGGTCATTCTTGTATGACCAACCTGCTGACTGCGGTGGATAGATGGACAACCATCCTTGATCGCAAGGGAAAGGTTGACGTCATCCACCTGGACTTCTCAAAAGCTTTTGATGGGGTCAGCCATGCATGTCTTATCAAGAAGCTTCGACGATTGGGTATAAAACCCCCTTTAATTGATTAGCTCTGTTCATATTTAGAAAACCGACATTTTAAGGTCAGGGTTAACTTCACTCTCTCTCAGGCTATGGAATGTCCTAGTGGGGTCCCCCAGGGTTCAATACTAGGACCTCTTCTCTTCTTGATTTTTATTAACGATCTTCCTCAACAAGTTTCATCTGACTTATTGCTTTTTGCTGATGATGTGAAACTTTGGAGAGAGATACGTAATCATAATGATATACTAGTTCTTCAGAAGGATCTGACTCGACTTCAAAGTTGGGCAGACGACAATGGACTTACCTTCAACACTTCAAAGTGCAAGGTAGTCCATCTGAGACATGTTGCAGACTATAGTTATAACTTAGGTAACTCACCTCTAGAAGTTTCCCAAGTTGAAAAAGATTTAGGAGTGTTGGTACCCTACGACCTGAAATCGTATGCGAACTGTGACAAAAACGCCTCTCAAGCAAACCTTGCACTGGAAACATTGAAGCGCATTTTTGGCCAGTTTGACGGTAGAACCTTCCATATAATCTTCAACAGTTTTATTCGTCCCCACTTAGAGTACGGAAACATAGTATTTCCTCTCTCCCTCCAAAAGGATAAGATCACTCTGGAACGTATACAACGTCGAGCCACGAAATCAGTTCGGGGTCTCAAATTCAAACCTTATGAAGAGCGCCTCAAATCACTTAACCTTTACCCGTTAGAGTATAGGCGTCTTAGAGGTGATCTTCTTATGACTTATAGTATCCTTAATACTTCTGGTCATCCACTTAAACAACTTCTTAAGCTTAGTCATAACACTAACCTCAGAGGTAACACCCAGAAATTGGAGACCCTACATAGCAGAACAAACTGCAGACACAACTTCTATTCCGTTAGAGTCGTCAAGTGCTGGAATTCGCTGCCGACTGAGCTAGTCCAAGCGACCTCCCAGGAGTCCTTTAAGAGGAAACTTGACTTATTCTTAAGGACTAAGGATAACATATTATTATGATTTACCAAATTCTTTTTTTCCCTCTATTATCGTTCATATACCTAGGTTCTTGCCTGGAGGTATTGGTGATCCACTGCTACCAGACACGGGAGACCGTTAAGCGAAAGCTTCTTCTATTCCGTCCTCAACCATCTGAACCTAATAAGTTTAAAAATTTTAAATACTGAAAATAAGGCTGATTAGGCCAAAACGATGCCTTTTTGTATATCTTGATGCTCAGATTTAGGAACAACTTTTATCCCTAAGAAATGTTCGAGAGGTTTGAATCACTCAAGTTCTAGTTTGTTGTAGCCACAGTTTCAGTTGTTGAGAAATGGCGGCAGTTCAAGGAGGGGATGATGTCTTAACTCCGTCAAAAAAATCGACGGAGGCATGCCGAAAAGACTTAGAATCTATAAATAATCAAGTTTGTTCTGTTTCAAAGTAAATTAAAGGTGTAGTTGGAAGCTTCTATTCGAGATATCGAAAAGTCCTTGGTCTCAATGGAGGAAAGATTTTCATCCAGTAATATCCTTTCTAAAAAGCTTTCGTTTTATTTTTCAAGCATTTGACATTGGCTAAAGGTAGTCAGATTGATTACCTTCATCAAGTTATAATTTCTAATATACACTGAAAAATCGTGAAGTTACAAGATGCAAATATTTCATACCTAAACCATTTTAATACAATTCCGTACTCAATATAATCAAGATGCAAGAAGATTTTTTGTACATGTCTAGGTTTTCCCCACCAACTCCTTATCCATCGTTTAGCGTTTTCAAATTTGAATCAGTTTTTTAAGTTAGATGAACAAGCTGTTCATTTATATTAGACGCATTCAGTATTATAAGTAAAAACACGGTTTGTGCTCGGGGATGTACTTCAACTACGGCTTTATCACAATCTTTATTTTTAGTTTTCTGTAAGATATGTTCCAGTTAAACCGAAAGTGAAGAAATTAAGGAAGCCTGCTAACATTGCCAGTTATATTGAGCTTTATATTTTCAAGTACAAAGGTATTTATGGAGTATCTTTCAGAACCCATCATTATCAGTACAGTTGGAGGGTCTCGGGTCACAAAAATCTATAAAACTTGATGAGGGAATGATTGGTGTCTGTTTTGACACATATTTTTCTGCAACTCCTGTGACTATTTTCCTTAGATCATATTTACTTGCTGAGATGGACAATGATCTAGAAAAACTTGAAGCTGATATTTCGAAGTTAATTAAATCTTCTGATATTCAAACAGTTGATTGACATTATTGCTGTGTATTGTGCAACTATGATAGTTGAATAAATATAAATACCTCAATTCTTTTTTACAAAATGTATCTTGAAAAGCATGATTTCTAATTTTTTTTTGAGAGAGTAGAGTGCTACAATTAAAATCGGAATGCCTTGTACTGAATGAAAACAAAATTACCGTGAAAAACCTTTACCAGGGACACTGAGGAAGTATATGGTGGAAATATTCAACTATGCACGTCACTGTCATTTGACCAGAAGTATAATAATAGTAGCCGCTTAAGATCATGTCGCATATGAGGCTCTCAGTTGGAACTGATCACATGATTTTGCAACAGTTAGTGCCATCAACTGATCAGTGAATGCGGTATATATTTATGGCTATCTCTTCTCACTGTAGTTCAGGTAGTATATTGCCAGAATTTTATTACTTGAATTTTATGTTTAGGTAAAGAAATTTCTGTTCATGCTGTAAGTTCAAAAGCCAAACACTATGCACAGTCTAGATCTTATTCATTTTTCCTTCATATCTGTAGGCCATAGGAAAAACTCTAGTGTCTTGAAATAGAGAACTCAAATTTTTCTTATATTGCTGATATGTAAGCTTGAAAACTATTTGTACAATGTTTGAAACGTCCACTTACATTGTATAGCTTGTCAATTTAGTCAGGTTAGACAGTCGTTTCTACTACTGTAATGAAACATTTTTCGCGTCATGATTGTTCCTGAGACATCAATTTTCTACCTCGACATGCTTTCAAATGAAGTTGTATCAGATGTTTCCAAACTTCCAGTATCTGTCTGGACTCATAAAAGTAGACAGTTTAATGAACAACTAACACTCAAAGATCGTAGTAACTACTGAAATGTTTGGTGTATTTTTCAAAGATATATGTGAAGATTTCTCTCTGGTCGATTACTAAGCCGATGTAGGGTTCATAAGCATGACTTGGGCTGCTAAAAAGCCTTAAAAGACGATAGAAAGAAAGAGTAGTACATCCGCTTGCCTAAAAAATACAACAAGAAATCGTTATATTCAAACTTGTATCGATATAGTAATTTAGCATACAAGAAGCGGACTGCATATTTTGTGTGAATCTTGTGAGAAGAATGGCTCCTTTAGTATGGCGATTACTATGATAAAGTTATGTCCTTTTTAATGCATTAAATATACGTTTTTCCAGTGTGTTTAACAGGACGGAAGACGGGGAAGGCTTAGCATGTCAAGTGGTGGCATCTGTCAGTTTCTCAAAGCTTTCAGGATCATCTTCATGTAGCTGTCAGAAGTCGTCACTATTGATGTACTCTTTAGATCATTCGGTTTGGTCTCCACGTCTAGTATTTCTGCAGTTTTAATCATCTTCTTATCGAGTCGAGCTGAATTCATTGTTTATTCGCTTAAGTGACGTGGGTTTGTTCGAGCATGTAGTTTTAGGACCTAACGATGACCCTATCAAACTTTAGTTGATATATCGAGGTTAATACTCAATAGTTCAGTGAAGACCTTAAGAGAGTAATATTCATATATTTATCGTTCATTTTCTTCACACATAGAATCAAGTGTATGCTCTAACAAGAAGTTTGTCTTGTCTGCCTCACGTTTCAGAGATACGATTGGGGTAGGATTTTGGGACAGTTAGAGATTTCTACTATGGAGAATGTTTTCAAATATTGCCTAATAAATAGGGTATTCTTGTGAAATTAGATAGGATTTCAACGAAATGTTGATATTTTGAAAAAAAGGTGCAATAATTTTGCTTTCATGTCTCATAAAAATTAATATCAAAAGCCTCAGTATGACTAGCGGTTATCAGCTTGGCTTTTTTGGGATCCGTGTGACTTCATTGTTATCGGGCTACGATTGGTTTAAGTGTGTTGAATAAACAAATTCTTACATATTAAAATGGCGTTGGATACATATGGAATTTCTAGGGTTTTCTTATTCTTATCTACAAAGGCTTCTTCGTATTCATAAAATATGATCATGATAACTGAAAACTTTTACATTTGATACTATTAAAAATTTCCAACATGTCTTACATTCTTAGTTATTACAAAAGTAAATATTGTCTTCATATTTAATTGTGTTAAACTTGTGGTTTTTAAAATCTACCAATGATAAGATTGTTTGTTATGAAAATTATTTTTTTACAGAACAAACTATAAAGATACATAGTAATTTTAAAAAGTTCAGTCCGATATTTTGTCATAAATCACCAATCAGTTCATCGATCTCATCCCAATCAATAAAGCTGGTGCTTGGAACTCCACCTATTTCAGTAAGGAGATCAGTTTCTGGCATGGAATGTGGACTTTGTGGAATTTGTGACTCCTAATAAAATAGTAAAATCAAAATACGGAATTTATTTTTGATTGTAATAGTATAGTTTGAAAGCGAATCCCTCTGTCTATTTGTGCGACTACAGACAGGTACAATGTGTGAGTGATTTCCAGCGTGCAGCTTTGGTTTTTAATGGAAATAAACATCGGCCCTGTTTTGTGATTTCTATATAAAACAAGAGTGCTATATGGAGAAAATTACGTAATTCGATAACAAACATTACACTAAACTGTGAGGAATTTTATTTTTCATAAGTAGGACTTTCTGGTGATGTAAAATATATTATTGCCGGTCATATTGCGGGATACAAAGCTATCGCTCATATTTAACTCTATACTTTATATTTTCTGAAATGTAAACAACTATATCATATCATGTAGATATTCATATATGCTTATCTCCCTGACCTCTTGATTTGTCCCCCACTAGTCAGTCATTTGAGAGGTTTTACTGCATGCAAATCCTTTACAGTAATTACAAAGAGCACGCTAGCAACAGTTACATCATTTAGTTGAAACGTCTGAAAATACCTCCAAAGATGAGCTTTCTAGTCTGCTCAGACGTCAATCAGAAAACGTGACTTCAGATGTAATAAAAGTCTAACTTGATCCATTGGTGTTGCTACTTCATTGAAAAAAAGCTAGCTAATGGGGCGATATTACGAGCCTGTTGTGTCAGGACTTCTCACGTTCTACGGTGATGATTATTACAACACTTGTAATATCACCACATTTACTAGCATTTCGGTGATAATGTCAAGGCAATGTGTTCAATTTGCACGTATATGTGATCCACTTCCATCCTAAAAAGTAGCTTAACACCTATTAACAATGTACTATACTATTCTTATCTGCTTTAGCTTACATATTCCAACTAAAAACCTAGTTAGTATTCTAGAAAATAGAAACTAAAATGATAGTTTTTTGTAACGGTATGCCATATAGTTTATTTAAACTAACCTGATCAAAATTAGAAATTCTACTCCCACTTTGTTGCCTAGATGGACTGCAAAATCTATCTTCTTCATCTCCATAGAGTATTCTTTTCACATTACTTTCTAGTGACCAGTCGCTTAAAATTGTTGTCTGTAAGTCATCTTCATAAGTTAGGTGTTTTGGTGTATCAGGATGCGAATGACTTACTACGGATTGCTTTTGTACAACTGCATTTAAAAGAAGGAAAAAGGGAGATAAAGCTATACAAACGATATAGTTCCATATCTATGAAGAAAGTTCATGCTTGATTTTTGTTATAAGTGACTAAATACTAATAATCAGATGGTAATCAATATATTATTCAGTGGTTGCAGTATTGACATCGGATAAATCACCGAGCGATTTTAATTCGCTAAAATCCATTAATTAGATCACAGTGAGAATACTATAGCCTTACAAAAAGTAGACGGAAATCAAGAATAAATTAGTTAGACAGTAGATCAATGCATTTGAATTACAGATAGTGGGCTTGTGCAATAAAATATATTAACTAATCTTAAACATAAAACAATATGGAAATTATTCTGTGTGTCTAAAGACATAACACTGATATTATTACTTGACTCCATTAACGTTTAAATTCGCTTATGCAAAATAGGCAGTTGAACATTTTTGTTTAATTTATTGTTTATAATGTTACCAGGATTGTTGCAACTACTTTTTTCATCTGTTCATGGTTATTGATAGGTATTCAGAAGTTAACATTGACAATTTTTATACTTCCAAACAGTGCTCTGTTCTATTTGTTTAAGTCTATTACAGTTTAGGATAGGGGTGGAAAACATGTTTTACTAAAGAAAAAAATAAACTCAGAATCCCGTGGGCTACCTGTACACGATAAATTGAATTTAGATAGTGAAATCCACTATTTATTTGTGAAATCAATAATTAGTAATCAGTATTAACAATACGTTGTTTTCCGTCAAACCGGATTTCCGTCTACTAGTTGGGGTATGAGTTTGGACATATTGAACTGCATAAGTGATAAAGATGTAGTAAATTATACTTGGAACTCGTAGCGTTTATTCAAGCTGGAGAAAACCTGCGGTTCTGTTATCCTGATCTGTATATAATGACCACGTTTTATTAATAGTAAGACAAAATAGATCAGTCAGCAAATTACACAAACCAAAACTCTTAAATTCCAGAAACTTCGTAAAAACACTCTCGAGTATTGAGACTTTCCATTTTGTTGTTATGGTCAACAACGTGAGCTTACTTCCACAAACATCGATTTAGTTCGTTGGTGACCTTGTTTACGATTGTTTGTCAGTGCAAGTTTTGTTGTCTCCATTTATATCTGTACTCAAGTTTATTGTCCTGTTCGGCTGAAACATGGCCATGTGGTTGGTCACGCCTTTTTATATGGGTTAAGAGATCGGGTTGAGTTCATGCAAGAGGCATCTACTTTGTCCACTGAGTTATCTTTCGCAGTTGATATAATTTATTTTGTAGACGACGTATTTGTGTGCCTTCGTCGTTGTATTTTATGATTTACATAAAATCGAATGAAACAATTGCAGTGCCCTATGAGAGACACTGTTTACAAGAAGTTTAGATGTTTCTGCAATGATTTCTAAGATATCTCTCACATATGTGGAGATAAGATGTATTAAGCAACTCCGCCTGTAGCTCCTCTGGGGGTTACTGCCGGTCCCAAGCCCGGGTAAAGGAGGAGGGTTGAGCATGGGGTTAGCGACCCCATCCCGTAGAAAATCAACTCGCTAAAAAAACGCTAACCAGAAAAAATAATTCAAACCTTTTAAACTCTGCCCTGGGAGTAGAAGGAATAATTATGACGTCTCATGATGAAAGCCGAGTTCCTTCGGAAGTCATGAGGCCGATGCACCTTCTTACAACCAGAGCGACAATTTTTATAGGTACATGGAATGTCCGGACAATGTGGGAGACCGGAAGAGTTTTCCAAATTGCTGCAGAAATGGGAAAATACAACCTGGAAGTGCTTGGAATCAGTGAAACGCATTGGACGCAGGTTGGACAACAACGACTGTCTTCAGGAGAACTTCTGTTATACTACGGTCATGAAGAAGAAAATGCCCCACATACACAAGGAGTTGCATTGATGCTGTCCAGAAAAGCACAAAATGCACTTATAGGATCGGAATCTCATGGACCAAGGATCATCAAAGCCTCCTTCAAAACAAAGAGAGAGGGCATTACAATGAACGTCATCCAATGCTATGCGCCTACCAACGACTACGATGAAGACGCTAAAGACCAATTCTACGACAGGTTGCAGTCGATCTTCGAGAAGTGCCCAACCAAAGACCTGACCATTCTGATGGGAGATTTCAATGCCAAGGTTGGAAAGGACAACACTGGATACGAAGATGTCATGGGACGACATGGACTGGAAGAAAGGAACGAAAATGGTGAGAGATTTGCAAACCTATGTGCCTTCAATAAACTGGTCATAGGTGGCACCATATTCTCACACAAAAACATACACGAAGCCACTTGAATTTCACCGGATCACACTACACAGAATCAAATCGACCATATCTGCATCAACAAAAAGTTCAGGAGGACGATGGAGGGTGTGAGAACCAGAAGAGGAGCTGATATAGCATCCGATCATCATTTGCTGGTCGCCAAGATGAAACTAAAACTCAAGAAGCACTGGACAACGGCGCGGACCACATCGCAAAAGTTTAATACGGCCTTTCTTCGCGATGCTGACAAACTCAACAAATTCAACATAGCCCTCAGCAACAGGTTCGAGGTTTTTCATGATCTACTCAATGGAGAGGGAACTACCATGAGGAGCAACTGGAAAGGTATCAAGGAGGCAATCGTTTCAACATGTCAAGAGGTTCTGGGCCAAAAGAAGCACCATCAAAAGGAATGGATCACTGTTGGTACACTTGATAAAATTGAAGAAAGGAGGAACAAGAAGGCAGCAATCAATATCAGCCGAACCAGAGCGGAAAAGCCAAGGCACAAGCCGAATACACAGAGGCAAACAAGCAAGTAAAGAGGAGCATCAGAACCGACAAACGTAAATATGTGGAAGATTTAGCGATGACAGCGGAAAAGGCTGCAAGAGAGGGAAACATTAGACAACTGTATGATACAACAAAGAAACCTGCTGGAAATTACCGTAAACCAGAAAGATCAGTGAAAAGCAAGGAAGGCAAAGTAATCACCGACAATGAAGAACAACGAAACAGGTGGGTAGAACACTTCAAAGAACTCTTGAATCGACCAGCTCTACTGAACCCACCCAACATCGAAGCAGCACCCACAGACCTCTCAATCGATGTTGGCCCACCAACAATTGAAGAGATCATCATGGTCATTAGACAAGTCAAGAGTGGCAAAGCAGCGGGACCAGACAACATCCCGGCAGAGGTACTGAAAGCAAATGTAGCAGCAACTGCCAAGATACTACACATCCTCTTCAGTAAGATTTGGGATGAAGAACAAGTACCAATAGACTGGAAAAAGGACTTCTGATCAAGATACCAAAGAAAGGCGATCTCAGCAAGTGCGACAACTACAGGGGCATCACTCTTCTCTCAATACCACGAAAAGTCTTCAACAGAGTATTGTTAAACAGGATGAAGGATTCCGTGGACGCCCAACTTCGAGATCAACAAGCTGGATTTCGTAAGGATAGATCGTGCACAGATCAAATCGCAACTCTACGTATCATTGTGGAACAATCAATCGAATGGAATTCATCACTCTACATCAACTTCATCGACTACGAGAAGGCATTTGATAGCGTGGACAGGTCGACACTATGGAGGCTTCTTCGACACTAAGGCGTGCCTGAGAAGATACTCAATATCATACGGAACTCCTATGATGGACTAAACTGTCAAATCGTCCACGGAGGACAACTCACCGACTCGTTTGAAGTAAAAACCGGTGTTAAACAAGGTTGCTTACTCTCACCCTTTCTCTTTCTCCCGGTGATCGACTGGAACATAAAGACGTCAACATCTGGAGGAAAGCACGGAATACAGTGGACAGGCAGGATGCAGCTTGACGATCTAGACTTCGCGGATGATCTGGCTCTTCTATCACAAACGCAACAACAAATGCAGGAAAAAACGACCAGTGTAGCAGCAGCCTCAGCAGCAGTAGGTCTCAATATAAACAAAGGGAAAAGCAAGACTCTCCGATAAAATACAATATGCACCAATCAAATTACACTTGATGGAGAAGCTTTGGAAGATGTGGAAACCTTTACATATCTGGGCAGCATCATTGATGAACACGGTGGATTAGATGCAGATGTGAGGGCGCGGATCGGCAAAGCAAGAGCAGCATAACTACAACTAAAAAACATCTGGAACTCAAAACAATTGTCAACCAACACCAAGGTTAGAATTTTCAATACAAATGTCAAGACAGTTCTTCTGTATGGGGCGGAGACGTGGGGAACTACGAAAGCCATTATCCAGAAGATACAAGTGTTTATTAACAGCTGTATACGCAAGATACTTCGGATCAAATGGCCAAACACTATCAGCAACAAGTTACTGTGGAAGACAACAAACCAGATTTCAGCAGAGGAAGAAATCAGGAAGAATCGATGGAAGTGGCACACCTTGAGGAAATCACCTAATTGCGTCACAAGACAAGCCCTCACATGGAATCCTGAAGGTCAAAGGAGAAGAGGAAGACAAAAGAACATATTACGCCGAGAAATAGAGACAGACATGAGAAGAATGAACAAGAACTGGATAGAACTAGAAAAGAAGGCCCAGGACAGAGTGGATTGGAGAAAGCTGATCGGCGGCCTATGCTCCATTGGGAGTAACAGGCGTAAGTAAGTAAGTAAGATGTATTAAGCGCCTGTGGAATGACTGAGAAGCCCACTTTTACATGCGGTAAGTGCTGATATTGTTCAGATTAACGTGAAAGGTTTACAATTACTCAAAGGACTCAGATTACGGAGGGTGACGTTTGAAAATAATTGTGCTGTAAATATTAATGTGTGATGTAAACCGTCCTTATAATTACAGTAAATTAATTGTCTCTCCCTAATCAGTCGGAGTGATTAAATTCCTATATATTCATTGTTGATTCTGATTTCTATAAGCAGTGTTTAACTGGCAAAGTAAGAAGGAAAAGTATATAGAATGGAGGCAGTAACCAAAATTTAGTGAATACTAATTAAAATGTAATCTCAGCAGTGTACCAATGTGCTTATAATTTGTAACAATGGTGAATAATTTTAAAAAAAAATATAATTAGTGGATTTACTTTTTGTTTGTTGTCCTCGATTTCCTGAGATGTTACGCGCTCCTCTAGCTGTAAATCCACTTCTTGCATTATAATGAAAGCGAACAGGAGTAGGCGGCTTTGGACTAGATGGAGTAATGTAATTGTTTAGTAAATTACGTTGATTTAAAACTCTTGATGTACCACGACTGTGTGTTAGACTTCGACCTCTTTTTATCTACAAAGTAAATAAGTATTTGAAGAAGGAAGGCAATACTCGTGTTAGTGAGCTAACATTTTAAATATAGAAAGGTTAGTTAAGTAAGTCATATAGATATTTTTATTGATTTTATGGTAAGTACGTATTGCTACGATGAGTTTTGTCTAGTATAATTAAGTTTAGAAGACTTTCTGTTGTCCATTTCTCAATTGTTTTGTTTTCTATCAATTCGTGTGCTTTCCACATTATAATTATCATGACTACCCTAATATTCCTCTTTTTATAAATTTCATTTACATGATTTTAATATATTGATTATTAATTATCAGCTTAAAGTGAGTTTCCTTTCTCTTTGAATAACCTTTCAACTTTAAAAATGACACATTCTTTTTATGTATCGAAGTCTTTTTTGAAAGTATACTTAGTTTGTACTCAGTACTTTAGTGTACCGCTTGCTGGTGCTTGTGGCGCTGGTGGGAATCTCAATGTGAATATTGACATTAGGGTAGTGAGGAATTTAGCTGATGAGTCTCAGAATACACATCCTAGAGTTCACTGTTATCGAAAACCCAAATACGCCAAAAAGTTATCTTAGTCATATATATATCAATCTAGTCATTTTGTTGCATATATTTTCTTTAACAGCTTATTAGAATTAAAATCAAACTCACTGTATTACACAAACTGTTAATTAAGTGTATTAACCCTGTGGTATTTTACACTTACTGGGGTATTTGAATGTTTTGGAATGATTGATTGATCCAACCTTGGTGATGACTGTTTTGGTAAAATACTATCTGACAAAATCTATAAATGAGATAACAACAAAATTCAAAGATTGACTGCATTCAAATAAAATAACAGTATCAGGAGATGATAAGGTATATGTAATTAAATATTTGGAACCTAACATTGAATAGTAAGGTGTGTAAATTTAATTCTGCTATTAAGTTTATCTCCTATTGTAACTGTTATAATATTCTGTATTATCCATACTCACATGATTGTGTAGATAGAATATGACACCGCAATGCATTGTAAATGATGAATTCCGATATTTACATAACGATGTTTGCGATGCGAATCTGAATAACACTCTGGCAAGCAAACAACAGTAATTTATGATCGGATGATACAGCAATAGTTGATGAGTCACATCAAGGCTTAAAACCGATCCAATAGATCAACCCTTTAGTATATATACTAAATCTGTGAAGAATAGCCTTCTGAGTTCCATGTTATATATATATATATATATATATATATATATATATATATTAGTTTTACTCACTGAAATTTTCAAAGTTCAGTTTTTGTCTACCAAATCTCATTTTGAATACTTTTCAATTATCTTATTTTTGCTTTAGGACAGCCGTCGGGATGAGAATGTAATATCAGGATTCATTCATGTATATCAAAAACAGAATGGTTCAAACCTTTGCAGTTCATAATCCAAGCATCAGTAGTTCGATCGATAACAAGCTAGTGTTCGAGGTACGATGTCTAAATCTTAATGTGATCACCAAGGTTGGGGTTCAGAAATATCAAGCTGATGAGTCTTGAAGAGGACTAAACACATGTCCTGTATTTCATTGCTACTAACAACAAATCGATTCCAAAATACATGCTTTACAAATATTCGAAATAACGTCAGTGTCACACAATAGTTACGAATGCAATATTATTTAAACAGATATTGATGTTCACTAACGAATATTTTAGACTCACTTCATTGACAAACTGTTTAGCTTCATTACAACGACGTGTCATTGAAGCCTCTCGTCTTTCTTTTCTAAGTTTTTCACGTTCGTCCGTATAATGACCAGTGATTGAATGTGATCTTTCAATTGGTTTAGGCGATTTAATTTGTTGTTTTACAATTGTACAATCATGTCTTTGATCTTGAACATTAGGATTAATTTCGCTGTCAATTATTTTTCTAAAAAATATAAATCGCACTTAAATGCAAAAATAAATACAAAGTTAAAAACTTTTGTATTAAGATCTAAATTTGATTAACAGAATTGAACAACCATAATTTGAGAAATAAGCTAAGGATCAGTATACGGTTGTGGATATTGTTGATCTTTCATTGAGATCAATGTTGGACCATCGTTGAAAACTCGGAAACATTGTACGGCCACTTCATCGTGGTATAGAACTCTTTAGCAGTGCGCACCGACCATCCCGTACGCGGAGCTCGAACGTAGAACCTCTGACCTCACGCACAAACGCTTAACATCTAGACCACTGAGCAGGCATCCAGTGGTGTTAATGACTAATTTCAATCAATACACGATATTGTGTGACCATTTTTCAATGGTGTCCCAACAGTTATCGGTCCAAGATCTCAATAAACAAACAAATCTTGAATCAAAAATACATACAAATAGTTTTTAAATAAACACAGTATAATATTATGGATTATTTAAACTGAAAAATGTTAATCATCTGAACTACGTTTGTCTGGTCTAACTTTAGAAAGATTCTGTGTTATTTATGATTAGACCACAAGATAGGATTAAACATCTGATGTACATATAGTCCAAATAAAGAGTAGGGCATCAAGAATAATATTTTCAATATTAATTTCTAGCTTCAATATAAATGTTCGAACTTATTCATTTATTAAGAATAAATCCTTATTAAGTAGTTGAATCGGTAAGAATTCAAAATACAAAAAAACACTTACTCATTATGTACTTGATCGCCATTGAAATTTAATTCATCAGGTAACTGTAGTTTTTGTTGTTTAGATGTTGTTTCACTTTTGTTTGGTTCATCTAACTGACAAGATAGATTAACTTGGCTTTGTTCTTTATTCAACTGAATAATTGTTTCAAGAAGCTGTATTACGTAGTGTAATGGAAAAATAAGAAATTCATTTTCATTTCAATATTCAGTTATGATAATTTAATGGTAAGTAGTTTTGTGGAGAAACTGTATAAATTGAATGGACACTGCATGACAGACTGTCATTAACTACTCAAAATCGACACAACGACTCCTTTTGAGATATATTAGCTCAGGTCTTTAACAATTAATGGTGATTACTGCAAGGGCTTTAATCAGGCAGTTTGTACATATCTCATCTTAATAGCTAATAAGTTGACCAATTGACCATATACTTTTGTTTTGTTGTCTTCAACCTTCTTCAAAACTCCTACACTAGACATTTTGTACTTTAAAATAAGCAAATTTCGGTCAAGTGAAATATGCGTTTCCCTATCTTGAAACCATAACAAAATAGATCATGAAAAATTGGTTACTATGCTGCTCTTAACCAGCAGCGATTGATAAAACAGCCTTTTAGAGGTCAGTAATATGTAGACTGATGACACATCAAGGTAGAGTGTAGCAATTAATTGAGATGTCATTGTGCTTAGTTCAGTTTCGGGTCATTACCTTTTATGAAAACAGGAAGTCAAAAGAAACATATTAGCTGACAATTGATTGGTCACTGGGTGGTGATCAATGTCTTGTATGTCAAGTCCTTCTTACTGCACATCAAATCCTATCAACCAAGTTGCAATGTAACCACTAGTGTAGGTGACTCGCCATTGAGTGAACTGTGTTGAGATAAGATGGTGGTTGCAGGTAGTCAACAGAAAACTCTGGACCTAGGTTTCTTGTTACTTGAGACTCGTTAACAAGGTGTACCTGTAATCTTGAGGAAACTGACCGATTCGATCCCGTGTCACCCAGCTTCACAGTTAAGGATGTTACCACTGAACTATCCAAGCCGCGACTGACCTCCTGTAGGACTCAAATGTGCTCATGATTGATTGGTCACTGAATGGTGATCAATGTCATGTATGTCAGGTCAGTAGCACGAAAACTAGGTCCAGTATTTTCTGTTGACTACCTCCAACCACCATCTTATCGAAACAAATTAGTTTTACAAGTATAACTTCTGATTGATTTGAATATACTCATTCAATCAGAAAGCATTTTATTCAGCAAAGGAATTATATTCAACGAGTTCATTTTCAAAGCTGTAAGACGGTACATATATTAATGATAAATTATAAGTTGTTTGTTAGCTGGTGAATTCACATTTGTAGTAAGACTGCAATGATTTTGTTCATAAATATTGATTGTATTAATGTGTAATGGAACATATGATACAATACACTTATCTTCATTATAAGTCTGTTACAACTTGATTATTTTCTATGTGGAATTCGATCGCATCACTTTAAACAAACAAACACTTCTTAAAGGAGAAAATTAACGAAACATGAGAAGCATATAATCAATGGAATGAAAAGTTTAACTGTAAATATCATAAAGTTAAAGTGAAAATGAACGAATGGTAATCAAGAAATCTGGACAAAAACGATTTTCGTAATGATAAAAATAGTAAATTATAAATAGAAAACAGAAGAACGAACAATAAAACAAAACTAGGAAAGGGATGTAATAAATTATTTTTGTTCACATCGATAACTCAGATTTTAAATTGTAGATGTCTAAAGCTTCTGAAATGTTAAATAGAATAAGGCGTATGCTCCTTAGTAAATTTAACTGTTTTTTTTTTAAATGGTGTCGAATGATGAATCATAGGCTGAATGTCAGGTGTCTATCACATGCAGCAGATTGTATGAGGTAATTGACTCATTTTGACCTCTTCTAAGCACGTTGATCAACACTTAACGTTCAATAATTAGCATAGAAAATTATTTATTAGTATAGATATTTTTAAGGAGTTTTAGTATATTTACACGATTTTGATTTTCGTCAGCGGTACAATTGAATCATAAATCATTAGTAAGCAATTAAAACTTTAAAAATCTTGAAATTTTCGACGAAAGTGAGGAAGGTTGGATAAAAAGTGATTAAAAACGGCAAACTACCCTGGAAACGATCGAGAGTACGCTTCGTGTTAACATAAAAACTTTTAATGGATAACATGTCAAGGAAATAAAAATCTGATCTCAGGCTGTAACTTCAACTGATATATTTTTGTGCCATATTTACCGAAGACCAGTTGGTAAGTCAGTAAGTTACAATGAAAAGAATTCATTTCAAAACATTTAAAAATAAGCAGTATGCTTACAGTAGGGGAAATAATGCCATTTTATCTTGTTACTTAAATTCAGGTAACTGAAATAAATTTCAAGTTATCAACACAAAGAAGTTAACTTGACCCCGTAGTAAGTAGTCGACACGTTGAGTCGCTTCATTCCAAACTCCTAAATATAAATTTCGTAACTATCATTTCTGAATAATTATCCAACATATTTTAAGTTTGCCAATAGTCTAAGATATTCGCACCAGAAAATTCAGAAAACCATGGATGTGATCAGACTTTTCAACTATCAAAATCAAATTATTTGCTTTTAAAATATACAAAACGGTGCAAGTAAGGAAGACCGGTTACTGAAATATGTGAGGTGACAAAAGTTGTAACTATCGTTCGTAGATATGGTAGGCGATCAAGAACAATAACAGTAGACATCTACTACCTCAGATAACATACATTTATAAATCCATAGAAGAGAGCATGTGAAAGACATTAATCAATGAACATTCAGTCGACTGTGACAAAACATCATCATTAACTCAAAATTACTAATACAAGATACAATGCACATTTTTAAACTCATTATGAATAAATTAAATACTTACCTCTTGATTACGTTTATGATCTTGTTCTAATTGAACTGAAACTTTATCAATCACATTTAAACGATTATCAATTTCACTTAATGCTTTTACTACATCTAAAGGAAAATAACTTGATCCTTGTTTATTACATGATAATAATGATTTAACTTCATTATTCATTGATTGTTTATTATCTTGATTAACTTTATTTGAATTTTGTAACATCTTGGCAGTAACCAAATCCGTGATGAATAATTCCGGCTTATTCTCAGTTGATATGTTTGTTATTGTTGTTGTTGTCGTTACGTTATTTATTTGTGATTTTGATACTAAAGACGATTCATTATGTACAATTTTTGATGGACTAATTGTATTATTCATTTCTATTGGTTGTTTGTTAACTGGTGAATTGCAAGGATTTTGTTCATAAATATTAGATGTATTAATGTGTAATGGAACACATGGTACAATACATTTATCTTCATTATTCCAATCTATCAGGTCAGATGTATGTATACTTAAAAATTGTTTAGTGACATGCTAATTGAAAAATAAAGGCGATAGAAAAACATATCATTCTTATGAATAAGCAAAAAATTATAAGACATATTGAACATAACAAATATTAGAATAAATTACTGATATGTTAAGTGAAATTCTTTTGTTTTGTTCCTTATAATGAGGTCTGTTTAATATATACGTATTAAGATCAACTATTATTATTAATATTTGAAAACACATGAATATTGGTATATAGGCTCACTGAATATATATGCGTCACACAAGTCACTTGATTTTTGTATGGGTTGTGATACTGCCCGAGTGTCCAATTCTAAGCAGGTGGTTTTCTTAGGTGGGCACACCTGGATCCTTCGATCTAAATGTCTAATCTACAAGACAGTGGAGCGACGTTAGGAGATGCAGTTTAATGGTAGCCAGTGACTAACAATTAGTTCATACGCCATTGGTTCTTTCACGATCCTGGAGCTAATGTGCACCACTGTTTTGGAATCAGGGTTTTCCAACTCCCCTAGGAGGAAACTCTACATCCACCAACCCGGGTAAAGCGCCGGACATTTGCTTTTCGTCCTCTCAATTTCGTAAAGAACACCTCCGCCACGGGAAGGCAGTGAGTAGAACTTTCCTGGTAGTTGCTGTATACGCGCGGCCATGTGAGAACATTTTGAGATGGAGAGTGGACTCTCCCCATCCTCATCCATAGCAGGGCATTTGGGGGCAAGATCAACTACAAGGTTGATGAAAGAATATTACTGTGCTTGTGTGTTAATTTAAGTGGTTGGGAAAGAGACTTGGTAGTTTCAAAATATAAGTCATTTCTTATTATAACAGTTATAATTTTTTCACCGTTTCTAATTTTACTTTCAGTTTTCCAGAAATATTAAGTTGCATAGCATACGGTTTTGTAAGATAACTATATATATATATATATCACTAACCTCATAATAACAGTTGGACCTTGATAAGAAATCATTTGGATTTAAACAGCGAACTTTCAGCGAAAATGGTATCATAGTTTTTAATAGATTTCAAAGTTAAGGTCCACTGCCACATCCCTACTTCATTGTTCATTGATGAATCGTTAAACATGAGAATATATAGACAGTTATCATGAAAATCAGGTGTTTATGTTACGTTTATATAAAAGGTCAACGTTATACAATATCTTCATACTTATTAGTTAGTACAGAAAATAGCATAACGTAACAAAGAAAATAATAACAGAAAAACTTACTGCAACATCATTGGACAACAGTTGTTCAATACAATCTGAAGGCCATGCTGCATTCTCACAGTTAGTAAATGTATTGAAACCAACTACAAAATCAAAATTAGTGGTAAAAATAAATTCCAGTTGTAATTTTAAGTAACTTAAATTCAGAAGATTGAATATATATATTACTGCAAACATTACGCGTGAAAAGTGTGGTGTCATTGGAAAAATTAAGAGACTAATATAAAAAAACACAATTTTATTATTGTTTAATATTTTTCAAAGTTGAAATCATGAGTCAATTGAAACTAGACCACTATGGAAAACCTGGAAGCACTGGACGGCCGTTTCGTCCTATTATAGGACTCCTCAGCACTGCGCATCCGTGAACCCGCTCTCGCGAGATTCGAACCCAGGACCTACCAGTCTCGAGCCGAAGCCTTTAACTGGTAGGTCCTGGGTTCGAAACTCGCGAGAGAGGGTTCGTGGATGTGCACTGCTGAGGAGTCCCATAATAGGACGAAACGGCCGTCCAGTGCTTCCAGGTTTTCCATAGTGGTCTAGTTTCAATTGACTCATGATTTCAACTGAAATCTCCACAAATCCCCTTCTGATTATTGTTTAATAGTCTAACAGTTTAGTGAAATACCTAGATCGAACAATAACTCTTTTTACAGTCAAAATGATTTTAATCCAATCAAAACTTTGGCAAAAGAACCACATCTAATGCTTTTCGTAATATTTTAACTGATAAGGTAGTGAACTTTTCACTTTCTTATTAAGATAAGAATGAAGAATTAAATAAAAAGTCTCGTATGACCAGTTAACTTAACTGTAGTACTAGTTTGCGACCAAAACACTTTAGATAAATTATAACTCCGATAATAGCTGGTAGTGGAATTCAGAAAGTGCGTTTATTTCTACTTCAAAATCGTAAATTGGGAGTATTTGCACTTCAGTGTTAACGTCTAGAATGACATTTGAACCCAGTATCTTTCGCTTCAAATGCCATTGTGTCATCATTCACTGAAATGCTGAATACTGTTGTGTTGCTGAGTAAATTTCATGCTCAATGTAATTAACTCTAACTAACATAGCTGACATTTATAACGTCTGTCGATTCATGATGTAGGGCAGTGTATTAACTACAGAAGAGAACCTATGGAAATAGTTCTAAGCTAACCAGATATTATTGACCGTGTTTTACCCCTATATTGGACATATTTAGTAATTTAGCATTTATTTTACTGCTTGAGGTTTCCGGTAACAGCACTTTTATGCACACCAAAATGTTTGTTCATGTTTATTTTATTTCCATATCAAGAAGTAAGTGAGAATGTGACTCTTTGGCTTAGAAATTTGATTGTCAGTCATTGATTCACGAGTTGGCAATAATCTACAACTATCAAAGTACGAGCAATTGGATGAAATTATATTTTAATATATAAACTGAAACATTAAACTGTACGTATTTATTAAGTTGTAAGTCCCCCCCATATACCAATAAAGAAAAAAATATGGAACAAGATAGTAAGAAAGTTAAATGTAACTTGCAAAATTGTCATCATAACTTCGGTTAAGTATTGTGCTACTTAACTATTCAAACTCAGTAAAATCCGTTTCAATGAGATTCGACAATCTCCATGGCCTCTTACTGACAATTTTTATGTTCTCACTAGTGGCTAAATTCGAAAGAGAAACAGTGAAAAACCAGTAAAGTTCAACCGTGTTGGGTGTGAGACATTTGCCAACCGAAGACAGTGGAATGTGCTTGCGTAATTAACAGTGTTGGATGCCAACCCAGTGTTCTAAAGGTTATGCGTTTGCGAGCAACACCGAAGGTCCTGGTCCTTCAGTGTGTATGACTGTAGATGCGCACTGTTGAAGAGTCCAACACTAGAAAGAAATGACGGTCCAGTGCTTCCAGATTTCCAATGATGGTGTACCTTAAATCGGTTTAGGAATTCAATGAAATTCAACAATTTCCACAGCCGTTTATCGACTGTTTCATCAACACATATCTTTTTATCCAGTAATACTTTGAAAATATAACAACAAACTAATTAACTACATCTAGATTCAACTTACTTTGAGTTTTAGGTTCCCCATAATCAACAAAATTAAATTGAACTCCACAATCATTATAGAATTTTTTATCATTTTGAATAGAAGGATCAAATTTACACTGTGATACATTATAATCTTTCAAATTATTAACAGAATTAGGTTTGATATTTTCTTTAGTTGTTTCTAAAGCCCATGAAATATCACTTAATGTATGTTGATCTACATTGTTATGTTGTTCACTATGAATTGGATATGTTAACATTTGTAATGTTTGTTCATTTGAGGTTGGTTTATAGTCTTTAGTTCCTTTGTAATTTGAAAGATAGGTTTCTTTTGAAGTTACATTATTGTTGGAAATTTTATTATCAGTCTTATTATGATTAAATTTTCTTTCGATTGGATGACATAAATATGGTAACCTTAAAAGCTTACCATTACTACTCAATTGATATTTAATATTAGAGTTATTTTGATTCAATTTTAATAATTGATGATATCCATTTGACTTATTTGATGATTCCTGTTCATTCAATAAGAAATGACTTTTTAACAAATGCAAGTTTATAGAATGTTGTTTAACCTTTTTCATCGTTTTTGGATTGAATTTAGTAAGCGATTTAATTTCATCTAAAGATAATAGTTTGTTTAGATTATGATCATTATTTTCCCATGGTACTATTGAACAATTTGCTGGGAGTTTTAATAAGTGAATATTCTGAATTGATGTTAGTTTCTTTCTTACTTTATTATTTTCAGGTAAATGTAAAAGTTTACTTACAGGTGATATGAAATTTTCTTTTAACATTTTATTATTGTACAAGATAAGAGGAAATTGATATTCAGTAGTACCCAGTGTTTTCTGTAAAAAGATTATCAGCATAATTATTAATCCAATAAAAGGAAGCTTAATCTTAGTCATATGAACTATATATACTCTAAGCAATTGGTGATAACAGTCTTAGATCTGAAATGATTCAACTACACTTTCCATAGTTTCTAATTAAAAATTTGGCAAGCGTCTCTAAATCACCTATATTTCATAGTAATTCAAGCGCTCTATCGCAAACCTATATAACAATCATATTATTCTACTCTAATAAAATTAATCAATGTAATGAACCAACAATGAAGTGAGTCAACAAACGTTACCATTGTAAGTATCCTAACTGGTGGAACACATGAATGAGGGATACGATTAGGCAATAACATAGGTTCTTGTTCAGCTGCTTTCTTAGTTCTAAAAGAAAAAGTGAAAATATTTACAATATTATTTGCATGAATTCAAATGGATGGATATTAACTGAATATTGAATAAATGTAGTATTATGGTTCAGTATTTCCAAGACTACATACATAACAACCCGATCAAAATAGTGAAAAATATACATCTATTCACTGAACATTATATATATATATATATATATATATACTACTGATGTCATGTCAGATGTACTGAATGCATAGTAGTCACAACATTCATTAACTATGACAAATTTTCATTTTCCCAATAGGCATAAAAATGTTTTTGACGTTATGAGACCTTGGATATGGCTTTAATGGAGTTGTGAAGCTTCATAAATCTGTTCCTTCTTTCATTGAGAGATTAGGAAGATATAATAACCTATGTAATAAACAAGCAACTTTGTGTTTGGTTTGCTACAAACTATCAGATCATATATTTAAAACAAAATATCCTGATCATTTAGTAAAGTAATTGAATATTATTTAACACTCGATTTTGAGACACTAGATTGAAAGTTTGAACCACACGTCGTCTAATTCGTCTCTGACAACCGGATAACTTTACTAGCTCCTATAAAAACGCTATGAGTCAAAGCCCTGTATATGTGCCTTTAATTAAGAAATGATTTACATTATGAATTGTTTTGTAAGTTCTTAGATAAAAATCAGTATTTTAATGTTCCCATCTACACTTGGCATTATAAATTTCATTCGGTTTTATGTCTATTTACATATGAAAATAGTTTAAACAATCGCAACAAAATTCAAATAATGAAATTAAACTTCAACAAGCAAATAAAATAACATCAGAATTCAGAAATAAAACACATATGACGAGTCTTTCAGTCTTTTCAGTCGGTCATATACGGAAGACACAGCGTAGGAAAAACTCGATATTCAAACAGGACAATTTCAAACAATACAACTGGGCGTTCATTTTAACGAAATAATGACGATCACGGATACAGAAAACCAGCAAGTTGTAGGTGGTAGCAACGTATCGGAAAAGTGGCAGAGGTCGTTTGAAAAATTGAATTGGAGGAAAAGCACCCATGGTTACTATTCTCGGTAAGACGTTACAGCTACTTAAAAAATTGTGTAATACTGTGATCACCTTAACAATAGAAAAACATTATTGCGGAAAATTAATTGAAATCCAAGTTGAGAGCTGTTTTCAAACGTAGTCCAGTAGATTTGGAACTACATGCAATATAGTGAAAAGGATTAGGTCGATTAAGGCATTGAGCTATAATGTAATCAAAACGCGACGCGTTTATTAAAACAAAATCCTACTTCAGCAAATGACTCTCATAAACATTTTCTCGTGCACAGTTTAAAGAATTTGGATAAAGCCACGATTTGCGTTTAAGTGATGACCAGCTTGGTGTGCCTTTGTCACAAGACGGGGGAACAGGTAACATTTATCTAAAGATATAAAAGATAAAAACAAGATGTATGAAGCTGACTGTCACTAAGCGTTGACTTCAACAAAATTACTTTGTACAAAAACGGTTATGTAACATAATCACTGTCATTTGGAAACAAGCATCAAAACATTTGAGTCACCAAAATATATTACTTATAAAACAATGAGTACTAACAGACGAATGATACAATTATTCGATGCAGTTGTTAGTCGAAATTTAAAGTGATTAAACTCGGAACAGACGATCTTTTTATAACGACCAGTTATTATTAATTAGTAACGAACATCATTGCTTAATAGAGAGCAGTTTCTTGATAGGTAAATTTGATAGATATAGTGATGATACCCTCAAGATAGTTGACTGAAAGAATTACCGATTATTAGTAATCTGAAAAAAACTTGAGAATAATCAGCGGTATTTCACCTTCCTACATCTTACTAAAACACTATGAACGTAAATAAAAACACGATTGTGCCCAGAACTAAAGTCTGATGTCCAAAAAAACAGTTCATTTTAGAAAGAAAATTGTTAGTCAAGAAAGTCCTAATCAAACACCAGTTTCAACATTTTTAGTCTTAACCGTTAGTTTTTATTTAATTTTCCCAAGGGTCACTAATCCTTATGATTACCAGCATATCCTTATCTACGGGGTTCTTGATATATTAATATCTCTGTGTCAGTAGGTCTGTGTACAGCGAAAAATTGAGTAGAAAAAGAGACTGTAAGTGAAATGACTGCAAATACTATTTAACACTAGTGAATTTGTAACACATTATTATACTCGGAAATTTCCCAAAACAGTCACATAAATTTACCATACCTTAGTTGTTAGATAGACAGAATGATGTACCATCAAACTAAGAGATAAAAAGCAAAATCTATGATAAATTAGATTAGATTTAGATGACATTCATCACACAAACATGGTAAGGTAAACCCTGATAAGATAATTTTCGTAAGTTTAGAACGGAAACGTAGATGATTAGGACAAACTCACTCAATTATGATTGCGTTTAGTTGAGAAAATGGGCCAAATTGTCATTAAGGTAGTTGAGGGTTAATTACCGATTCTTGAACACAAAGTTTAGGTTAAGGCTATCTAACTGTTTCATGATTCAACCTAGCCTGTCTGCTTATCTATTCTGCACTTCTAAAGATTTTGTCAAGAAAACCATTAAAAATTATCTTGAGAGGTTTATTCGAAACCTCTTGAACATGTTCTTTAAGTACTGCATTTTATGCGGTCATTCCAATTTCGCCCGACGTTAAAATGAGTTTGAAGTGTTTCTTCTTACAAAACTTCCATATTAGGTCTTCTTACACTAATCTCTCATAGATTAGTGTTTTAATATCACCAGCGCAGGAAGATTTACAAAATCGATTAAGATCGTTTCTCTCTAAAGTCAGATGTCGTGGATAATGTTTTGAAGAAAAGGATCACCCATCTGATTAGGCTAAATTATTCAGTATTTTGGTGCAAAAACAGACAGTATAAACCGATTCAAACAAATATGCCAAGTTTTATGAAGAAATCAAAAACATAAACTAGAATATCCATTGAAAGATTTCTATATACATTTAGAAGGTTAAACAGGCGAATTTAGAAGATTAACACAGCCTTCTTATACACGACCCATTAACTCACACTTTATCTCAAATAGTTATTGATATAACATGTAAATTTTTTCTATCGACACACAAACGAAAATAAATTGGAACAAGGTGAATAATTATAATATGCTTTCTTTTAGTTAACAATAACATTTAAGTGCAGATACTAAATGAAATTCCTAGTTTATTTATTTACATCCTCAACAGGTTATTTGTCAGTATTTGTTGGCATATAACAATGGTCATCAGGATTCATTTACTTCAGACGATTAGTAGGAAAAGCATAAACGATTTATCGAAAATACACAATTCTTCTTTATGCAGAGACACTTCTTTCAAAGGGAAGTGATGTGGTCATCTATCTGTCTCCAAATAATTTATATAAAAACTCAGGATTTCTTTACACTCCACTCCAGACTTTTAGGTGATAAAGGAAAATTAAATAAGTATGAACAAACGTAAATGGTGGGTGAGTATACTTTAAGCTAATCCATAAGGAAAGGCTAATGAATATGTTAATAACATTATTCACTTGAACCCCGAGTCCTGTTTTCTATGCTTTTAAAGATGATGTGGTGAAGTTAAATAATTTTCAGTAAAAATACGATACAGGCTCCTAAGGTAGTCGATAATATGGGCTGTAAATATATCAGGAAGAATCCCTCTATATACACGATGTTAATTTCATAGTTAAAACCTCCAATTAGTGAGTTAAAATAATTTTTTGAGATTACAAGTTATGATTTACATAAAACACAACCAATTTTCATAAAAAAGAATTCGCTCAAACTTAAACTTTTACTTGGGAATTAGTAGTGTCTAACTCGACCAAACAATTGTAATTATCTCAGAAATAACGTTCCTGGTGATATGCAAATACGTAGCAACTTGCGTCTAGTCTAGTGAATTTTTATATGGGGGGGCGCTTGTAGGGAAATCCTAAAGAGAAAGAAATGAGAGAGAAAATGGACCAGCGAAACAGTCAGAAAATAGAATGGAATTATATTTGGAAGGAAAAGTAATCAGCATTGAATAGATATAACGCAGGCGTCAGACTAACAAACTATGGTGTTCAGAACTGGAAGTTGCTAGGATAAATTTTCTGAAGCGTCACATAACTCAAAGCAATAAAAACCCACTGCCCTCAGAAAGAACCTATCGACTCTAATGTCTGTGGGACGGGTGGAGAAATATTACGAATTCGTTGCCTGTCAGAGTATTGAAGCAATTAAATATCTGTCCAAGCAATACAGAAAACGAGGGCTGATGAACCTGTCATCTAACAGACGTTTCACGTAAGTTAGCGAATATAGGCTCAAAGTAGACTGCTTTAGCCGTCAAAGAATCGGCCGATAAGTCACGAGGTGAGGATATAACGAGTTAAGAGACCCTGGTGAGGACGCGCCTTTTCATTTGTCTTCATTTTATTCTAAATTTGTATGTTGGTTTGCTATTAGAGATTATAAGGGAGAGAAGTTCAGTGATTAACATATGTTTGTGTTGGATGACAGGTTCGTCAGCCCTAGTTTCCTATGTTGCTTTGAAAGATATTTACTTGCTGTAATACTCTGACAGACAAAAAATTCGTAAGATCCCTTCATCTGTCCTACAGACATAAGAGCTTGCTTCCACACGGCACGAGAGTATAACTTTTTTGAAGGAATAGCTGTCGACACAAAGACTGCCTTAGTATTAATTGTTGTAAGCGATGAAGATACCTGGTAGACATGAAGCACTCCAGTGAAAGCTGTGGATCTGATGATAGGACAGTAAGTGCTCATTGTGTTGCTTTGAAGTCGCAATCTTTTGAAGTTTTGAATTACCTGACGATATTTCTGTGAAAATGTGTTGGTGATTAACGTTTCTTAATAGCATCCGTAGGGTGTAATTACTATCACCGAACGTCCCTATTTTAAAAACTTTTTTATCCCTTTCATAAGGAATCTTGTAAAATCCGCTATAAAAAAGATTAGAGAAAATTTGGTAAAATGACACAAACACTTTAAAATTTATTCAAAATAGGGAGATCGCGCCGTACATAATTACTGAGACTGTCATCGCTGCCTGGAATGACATCCCTTTGATAGTTATGAGTTCAGAATACTACGGCATATACATAGAAGAAACGTTATGTGCTTGCAAATTATGAAAAGAGGAGTGTGTGGGTGAATATAAAAACAGAAAAGCACAAGATAAATTAGGATCTGACGACTCGAAATGCATGTGACATGAACTTGAACCTTACCTGTGAGTCAACAAATAATCGTGAAGAGAAAAAATAGTCGTAATCCTAAAAAAATACGGCAATCATGGTAGAGGTTTCTCAAAGCAAATTATGTGTCTTTAAAAAAACTCCCAAACATTATTCCTCAGGTAAATATTCAATGATGTATTTAAACAAATAATAATTAGCAAAAACGTGAGCACGTATTGTGAAAAAAATCTACATGTATAAGACTGAGGTTATTAAAATTTGTATCTATTGTTCCAATTTTTATACATCGACATATACACCCACAGATTTTAATTTCAACGATTTGATTCATGCTCATGTTTTTTGACATAAAGGAAGAAATATTATTGCACACTTCATAACCCTATACTGTAACTTCCTATACTAATATTCTTTACTATAGCATAAGTTTTGACCAACTTTCGCAGATATAATGACGGACATATGTACGAGATTTTTCTTCAAAAAAGTGACGGAAAACAGTACTAATGGCGATCGAGTCCCTCATATTGGTAGCTGAGTTAGTGATTTTTGCTTATCTAGACATACAAACTGTTCGGGATTCTTAATACAAGTGATCTTTTTCGACAGTCTTATAACTCCAGTTAGACAGGAATGGTGTAGCCTTGTTTACGGCAAAGTGGAACAGGAAGGTCGCTTCTTACACTGGCTCACCTAATCTTCATAAATAAGTGAATCAGATTTGTTTGTCCAAAGCTAGTAAAAATAAATCAAAGATGTGCTAAATAAAGCTATAGCTCATAAATATTTCTATGTCTTATGACTTCAACGTACTTCCCCAAGTTTAGGTAAATCTAACAACAAAAGGCCCTCTAGAATGACATTTGAATCATATTATTGTCATTGTTCTTCTTAGTGAAACATATTAGCTTAATTTATTGAGGGGCCCACTGAGCATATAGTTCAATTTGTACTAGTATAAGCATTCTGATGCATATTGTCTCCAAAAGCAGTCAGACGAAAAAAAGTAGTGTTAACCCATAATTTACCACCTATTTCTCTCATGCTTGGATTTCTTAAGCTGTTATGAACAATTAGTGAACGAAATTCAAGTGCTTAACGACGTTTTAAAGTGATGATTTTCTGCGGTAATTATTTTTTCTTCTATAGAGGTGATGATGCAACGGATGTTCTAGTTTTACAACTAGCTACCAGTAGCACCTTCTATATTTGATCGTTCCCAGTCAGATAGAAATCAGAAGTCAAACGAGAAGAGGCAGGAAAGATATATTTGATTCGTTACCAATATATCGAGGACCTTTTCTATGAGCTGGCTAATGAAACGTAGGAGCTGTGTCCCACGCCGTATTGAAACGTGATCTGGTGCGGATGCATGACCGAAAGCCTTCAGCTAAACCAGTCCACTTAAACACGTGGTCAGCATCCAATGTCGAACACTTAATGAACTATTGATTTTGGGGAATTATTTACAGCTGCAGAGGCTTAGCAGTATGTTAAGAACGCTGCTCACCATTTTGCTGATCGTATAATATTTGGATGATGTTCTGTTCCCTGAGCTGTATATTTTAATCAGGGACACTTTGTCGTACTTTTCCATTATATCCTCAAGACGTATTTCAACAAAAATTGAATTGTCCGAATTTCTTCATAATCGACTATCTGCTTGCGCTGCTGATCTAGAATTTTGTTGTATGCTTTCCATGTTCATGCCAGTTGTCCGCATGTTTGCTTGAACCCTTTCACTTTTGACTTGGTTTTCGTTTTCTAAGTTACTCAAACTTTTCCTTATCCTTTGAAAGTTTTTCAAACACGATGGGCTTATTGACTCATTTGTGTCTCGACGAATTCTCGAACTTATTTTTTTGTTACTTCTGTACAATGTGTTCTTAAACTATATCATGTCCAAAATTGTTCACATCCATTGACAAGGGAATACATATGGGTGATAATTAGGAGTATTTTAATTATATTATAAACTAATAACCTTAGAAACAACGCACATTAATCAAGATGTATTAGATGAACACGGACGAATGTATTGTATTAGGGATTCAAAACCAAGCAGTCCTCAATACATAGAAGTCATTGGTTCATTCGAACACCGCATTCGCCACAATTTAAATTGTAGTTTAAGTGTTTGCAATCTACTGTACATCTTCTTCTGAAGTTCATCTTTTGTCTTTCCCATGGTCTATTGGATAGAGATGATGTATGATCTAGAATAAATTCGTTAGTATTAGAATTAACAACCGAAATTGGAACGGACTCAAATGGGTCCTGGAATTGCATACAGTCACCATGTCGGTTGTACACTGAAACTACTAATATCTAGAATTTGCATCATAGACTTTCCAACACTATCCTCTCCACAAAATAATGTTGAGTCCTAACCACGTAATGTTATCACCAATATGACGCCCCCAAATTGCATTACCTTCTCAAATCTCACGCTTCGATTACTATATGTGAGTATTTGGGGATAAACATTGATGTATAATTTGAGGTTTTCCATCATGTGACTTTGACTTGAATAAAAAACATGACACACTCTTTCTGTTATTCATATTAGAATAAGCAGATAGATACGCATTGATATGTGTGGTTAACACATGTGATTCATCAAGATTTGATTCACCTGCGAAACAATCGAATGGAAAACATGCGTCTACCTCATGCTAATTAGGATAACCTTGGAATTGATTTGGATTTTCTGTCTGTGCAAAGCGGTTCATCATACCACTGACTAGAGACTCTACTCAACAAACATTGTTCGTGAGAATGTCCAACATCTAATGCAATAATATCAGAAATGTGACTAGAATTCGATTCGTCCGGAACATACTTGTCACAATCATTGAGAATATCACTGAAGATAAATCTATTATGATGACGAATAGCATTTGATATGACATTAGAATGTGATCTTCCTGAAATATTTCCCTCAAATTTATCAAGTTTCATTAGAGAAAAATGGACATTAGAAAAATCAGAATCTACCAAAACAAAGTCCGGTTCTAGATCATGATTCGATTCACTAAACATATTTTCCTTAGATTTGAAAGAAATTTCATCTGAAATATGTTAATAATTATGACAAACCACATCTAGTCCAGTAACACCAGAAATCTGATAGGGCGTTGATTGGTTAGAAACTTTTGTCTCACAATGATACTTGGTTTCATTCAACTCTGGACTCTTATGTGACGTTATACCGCTTCTCGAAGTTTTGGATGAAGATAAGTGATCATTTGGAACATCCAACTTAATAGGATCATAATAGCAAACTTCAGCTTTAGTTACAGCGAAATGAACCATGATGTTACAAAATGACTGAATCTGTCCAGCTTTACCACATTTAAAGCATTCAGAATTAAGAAATACACATGAACTACATAGGTGAAGCTTGCCACAGAAGTATTTGTCAAACTTGTGCTCATCGTCGTGAACTGTTCCACAATTTGGTAAATTGTTACCTGAATAACCTTGATTACATACTGGACTGCGATGACGTAGTAAAGTAGTCGAATTTCTGATGTTCTGGCGAGTCATTTCAACAACTTTTTCTCCCATGATAAAAACTTGTACTGGTCAAAAGGACGGAAAACAAACTAAAGCTTATAAACCATGACTACAAGTTAGGAATTCGAAATGAATGTCTCTTATTCGAACATTTCAATGTCCCTGATAACATTAATGGAAAATTTCTAGATTTTTCACGATCCTAAAACTGGTTAACCACTAATTATTCGTACAGTTAAAGGACTCCGTTGTACCTCAACTTAAAGAATAATGGAGATGAGTTTTAATTTAACCTTTTTACTGCTCACGTAGCCATGAAAACATTAACGCTTTTTAGTTCCTGATAAGAAATGAATTGGTAAGACAGGAACTTATGAAATTTCAAAAATTACACTTTAGCAAGTTTGAATATATTAAATTTCATCTATTACATGGATTCAAAACATTGAAAAGGACCATATTTATCTAGCATACTATATTCAACTTTTGGGGAGGGGAAACATTGAACAGTGGATACCACTATAAAAGGAAATAGACTAATAGGCTGAGATTGCGTTGGGAACCTCAACAAAAGGTATCAGAGACAACGAAAACGAGTGGACAGACCTATAACCTATACGTTTAGTATATTTTAATGTTATTTAAAGGAGCAATCCATAAGGCCTATCTCGTACTTTTGAAACGTATTAGCTGGACGTAAATTCGTCCTTGTGGTGATATTCACACTAAGAATCGAACCTTGTACACGCCACTGTTAATGTTGAAGCTTTGCTCACTAAGCTAATGAGAGCAGATAGCTACTAACTTGTTAATTGTGCAAACTGTCAATTCACAAGTGTTGATATTATCCTGTTCTCGACGTGCACAACTGAATTTTTATCAGTTTTTATTGCCATATGTTAATCTTGAGTAATTACCAAGAAAGACTAGTCAAAATCTAGTTCTAAATATCAAGAACAGAATAAAATAAACCATTAAGACTTACACTCTAAAGTATCGACTTCTAATTCTACTAAATTTCCAAGTACCTGGGCAACGAATGAGTACTGTTTCTACGGAGATCTATTTACCTTTCAAACCTATACTTACTGCTCTAATTTTGTAGATGTGTTTTCACAAAACTAAATAACTGAAGTATAAACGAGTTACTGGATGTTTCAAGGTTTATAATAGACGTGAATGGGTTACAGAACCATAAATAAACAAACGGTACCGGATATCATGGAATTGTATTTGTTCTCTCCTGGATCAAAACTTTACCTAAAATAATCGAGGTATGTCTCCTTAGAAAACCAACTTCCTCGGCTTCAGTGTATGTAATGTATCCGGATATATTAGTACTGACATGCAGAAATAGAGGTGGAGCGTGATCTGAATCGTTGGACCTAAGAATGAAAGTTAGTTAGGTGTGTTGACCTTTAAGCTAATGGACAACGAACTAATGTTTAATAAAAGTAAAATACTAAAACAGTAAAGAGGGTCTATTTGCTTTAAAAAAACTTGTTACATAAATAAATACATAGAAAAATAGAACAGAAATGGTTACTGGAACAAAAATAAACGATTGTTACACAATGCAATACGGCCCTGAAACTTTATTGTTTTTTTAGCAGCCTTATAGGAGATCATGATAAATTTATGTCATTGATTGGGAAGTTGACGAATCCTAAGAGAAAAAGAAACGTAAAAATTTTCAAAAAATTCAAATAATGAATTAAGTAACATTGAGTAAATATTTAGAATGAATGAGATAATGATAAAGTAGTACTTCTAACCTACCTTGATTTCTATAACATCTTTCTCCTCAAATTTATACGATTTGAGGTTTGTTGGGCCGAAATCAAAATCATTTGGTAATTTTTTTGAAATTTGAGAGTTATCTGTTCTACTGTTACCAGTTATATTCCCATCACTGAAAGAAACCAAAGTGGTTAACTGTACACGTCGTTTTTGTTTGGATACAGTTGAGGCACCATCGACAACAGTGGGATTATTATTGACGCTGAAAGGTAGTTTGTTAAATGGTGTATATGAAAATTAAAAATTCAATCTATTAAAAAAAACCCAACTTGCTTAAAGATATGTGTGTAAATCAGTCATTAATTTATTAAATTTATGATTTTAATATTCAATTAAAAATGGGTTATTTATAAGGAAAGGATAACGCCTAATTAATAGTGGTGAAATATATCTTCTTTAAATCACACATTATAATTAACATATCCATGTAAACCAAGGTTCCAATCCATTACAGAGAACTGAACAAAAGTATATATTCAAAAGAAAGTAATTACAGACTTTAAAACATACACTAAAATTACACCCTATTTGTAATTCACGAATTGATCAAAATGTTTGATATCTTAATCACCCAATGATTTTAATTATAAGCAAAGATAGATGGTGGCTAGCAGTGGAATCCAGGATGAGCGTTTCGTCCTATTTGCGACTGGTCAGCTGGATATACCTGCATAGCAGAGTTAATATTCACTTTAGGATCCCACTGTTAGCCAACACCCGCACACCGCACAGGATGCACACATGCCAATAACAGACTGATTAATTGCAGTCCTAAACATCAATAGGAAGATCCAGAGAAACAACACAAAAAAGGAATAAAGGCTTATGAAATCACGAGTTAGTCTAAGCTACACCATTGAAAATCGGGAAGCACTGGATGGCCATTTTGTCCTAGTATGGAACTCAGAAGTGTGCATCCACGACCTCGCATGTAAGACTTGAAACGAAGACCTTCGGTCTCGCGCGCGAACGCTTAACCCTTAGACCACTGAGCCGGCATCCGACGATCTTATTATCTAACTTTAATCTATCCATGATCTTACGCAACGATTCATCCATTAACTGAGGTAGATACCTGCCTCTACCTGACACGGATTGGACTCCACTGATCACAGCTTCTCACTAGAACTCCAAGAAATCCAACTTGAAGCCAGTCACCAGTAAGCACATGATTATTATCAGGATGGGGTTTTAAGGAGATTGTAGTAATTTTATTAGTTGAATTCATGCTGTAATAGATAAGCAAAACAATTGGCTAAATTAAGTGTACATACGAGTTAGATTTGATGGGAGATTGATTAAACCGAAAATATATAGCTTATATTATTTTAGAAATAGGAAATGTTGGCAATAAAAGATACACAGTCGATTGCTATAAGCAATAAATTTACCTTGATTCTGACAACTTTTCTTCAGTGGTTGGTTTATTTGAGTCAGGAACTGTGGTAGATGAAATATTAGATTTTGAAGGATTGTTTGTTTCCTTGATAGGGCCGCTATCTGCATCCCCTACTACGGATGATAACATTTCAACGTCATTATTCTGACACTTATCTGTTTCACTAACAGCATTCTCGATTGAGATAGGCTGTGGATTAGGCGCACCAAATGTACCACGATAAAACGCGCCAAGTTCACCATGAGCGAAATGAATCAGAGAGCAGTAACCATCAGTAGAACAGATTACAACTAAATGTCCGTCTTTAGACCATGATGCATCATTTAAAGCTTGATAATGAAGCTGAGAAACCTGAAATATACAAAAATATTTTGACTGACAGCACACAAACTAGTAATTAAGTACAGATTAATCTGATGAACAAGACATTGAGTAACATTGATTGAACAAGATGACGGTTCATTGTGAAAACTACCTTCGAAACAAACAAATTTCATCACAAAACGCCTGAGTAAGTTATTAATATGATTTGAGCAATCATACATAACAGTTAGACAACATATTAACAGCTAAGTGTATATGCACGTCCATAGTTAACCAACATAATACACACTAGCAATAAGCTCTACAAATTTGATTTTATATACACCGGTTATAAATGCTTTTGAAAGCAAACTCTAGTAAAGATATGCCAATCCGCAAGTCAGCATACTAAAAAGTGAAATTTTCAGTAGAATATACACTTTTTCTACATGTTTTTCTTGTAACTTGAAAACAAACAGATCCTTAAATTGGATTGAGATCAGTGGGATCAAGCCGTTTATTATTACAAAAGTTGAATTATTTACTCTGATTATTGAATTATTTGTTTATATTAACTATAGCAGCAGCGACAGTTTTCTTATATAATAACATAAAAACCATCTCTTAACTAATAACTCAATCATCGTGAATGATGACCGGAGAAGCGCGCATAGTCCACGGACTCCTTCCAGTCAGAAGATAAAGATGACAAGCAGATTAATTAATCATTGTACTCTATTCACTCATGACTCAGAAATTATACAGCAATACGCCTTAAATATCTGACCACACAGTCAGTCAGTCAGTCACAACGTAGAACTTCGTACGTACGTACATCAGTTCGAGTTGCCATACCACATTAGCACAGAGATGCAGTTGTCGATTCAAATCCCATAGTGGTAGAAGTAGTAGGAGTATAATCTGAAATCCAAAAGATTAGGGTTTGAAGAAATTATTGAAGGAGCATAGTACAGTGAAATAAATTTGGAAAGAGAAAAAGATAAAGACATGAGGAATTCAGAAGATTAGAATTTGGTAGAACACAAAGAGTGGATGCACCTTCGCCATTGCAAACGATTTTGAGCCATGTCATTCAAGGTCTCTAACCATCGGTTGCTATAATCTCGCGAATCCCAACCAGGTAGTCTACACCTACCAACGTGGCCCAGTCCACTTGTCAGTGACTTCATTGATTTGTGCCACGTTTTGGTCTGGCCACCCCTAGCTTTCTTCCAACCTACTCCTACACCATGAAACATTGCACGTCGGGGCAGTCGGTGGTCGGGCATACGTAACACATGTCCCAGACATCTCAACTGATGAAGTTTCACTACTTCATCAATCGATTTGCCGCACAGCAACACAGTTAATAAGTTACATTGTTTACACGACTCAGTCATAAGTGATACAAAGACGAAGCAATAGGGGAATAATTAATTAATCATAAATCTGAAACTGTTATACATACAACAAAGATTTATGGTTCAAACAAAAGCTTATAAATAGAACATAAAAATAAGCATCTAATCATTATACAATAAAAATGCAAATAAATCTCAGTAGGATACTTCTGAAAGTTCAGATCAGACAACAGATAGGGCTGGCTATGTCTTTGGGAGGTCTTAATGTTGACGTTTGTTGTCTATCCGAGACCCGCATTCAAGACTCTAGTGAAGTACTACAAATCCGCTCTCCATCTGTCGCCTCGAAAAGCTTGTTTCACGTGCGCTTATCCGGGGACCCTGTGGCATCTTCGTCTGGTCTTGCTGGCGTTGGTGTCGCACTAAGCGCTAGAGCTGAGGCAGCACTAATCGACTGGATCCCCATTAACAGTCGGTTAAGTGCTGTTAGATTAGAAAGTTCGGAGCGTGCTAATGAGATGGAAGCAGCAGCTGCACCTGGCAACTGCCGGAAGCTCTTCCAACTCATCCGAGCCACTGGCAGCAAGAAGTCTGGTGTGAGTGAAACAATCTACGAGGATGACGGGATGCCAATCACTAACATCTCTCGACGTCTTGGACGATGGGCGGAATTTTTCGAAGGGCAGTTCAACTGGCCTGCTGCTCCGGCAACATCGACCAGTTTGTCCTGCCCCCCCCCATGGCCGGTGACGACTGATCCACCAAACGAGGCGGAAGTCCTCAAGGAACTCCAACTCTTGAAACGTTACAAATCACCGGGACCAGATGACTTACCTCCGGCTCTTCTTAAAGATGGTGGTGATTTTCTTGCTAAGGAACTCACTGCATTGTTTGCAAAGGTTTGGGAGCAAGAAAGTGTTCCAACATCATGGAATGAGTCGATAGTCGTCCCTATCTTTAAAAAGGGTTCACGTTGTTCCTGTGATAACTATCGAGGGATAAGTCTTCTTCCGATTGCGTCCAAACTATTGGCTTCTATCATTCTTCGTAGGTTGTTTAAAACCCGAGAACGATTGACTCGCGAGGACCAGGCTGGTTTTCGTTCTGGTCGAGGATGCATTGATCACATCTTCACCCTCCGCCAAATGTTAGAACACCGTCATACTTATCGCAGGCCAACAGTCGTAGTGTTTCTTGATATCAGGACTGCCTTCGATTCGTTGGACAGGACTGTTCTCTGGGATTGTCTATTGAAGAAGGGTGTGCCTGAGAAGTTCATTAACATCTTAAACGCCCTGTATACGAACACCTCAGGCAGAGTGAGGGCATACAACCACCTTTCTCCCTTGTTCCATTCGAGCATTGAGGTTAGACAGGGTTGCCGAATCTCATCATTCCTCTTCAACTTTGCCATCGATTATATTCTGGAAACAGCTCTGATGGATGTAAGTAATGGCGGTGTGGATCTGCTGCCTGGAGAATGACTTCTCGACCTCGAGTATGCGGATGATATTGTTTTACTGTGCGATAATGTACAAGGCATGCAATCCGCACTTAATCAGTTGGCAATCAGTGTCCGCAGGTACGGCATGTGCTTTGCACCCTCCAAGTGCAAGGTAATCCTACAAGACTGGCAGGATTCTCATCCTGCACTCACCCTGGATGGTGAGCAGATCGAAGTAGTTGAGAAGTTCGTGTATCGAGGTAGCTATATAAGTGCTGGTGGTAGCGTCAGTGATGAGATTGATGCACGTATAATGAAAGCCAGAACGGCTTATGCCAATCTGGGCCATCTTTGGCGCCTTCGTGATGTTAGTCTGGCTGTAAAAGGTCGGATCTACAACGCGTCGGTGAGAGCAGTTTTGCTCTATGCTTGTGAAACATGGCCCCTCCGAGTTGAGGATGTTAGACGTCTCTCTGTGTTCGATCATCGTTGTCTCCGAAGGATTGCTGACATTCAGTGGCAACATCATGTTAGTAATTCAGAGGTTCGGCATCGTGTGTTCGGGCGCAGAGACGATAATTCAATTGGTGTCACCATCTTGAAACACCGACTTCGGTGGCTTGGATATGTTTTACGAATGTCGTCCCAGAAAATTCTACGTCGTGCATTATTTGCCGACACTGGAACTGATTGGAAAAAGCGGAGAAGAGGTCAGTGTATGACATGGTGTCGTGGCATGAAAGAAAGCTGCAAAGGGCTAGCTTCTGTTGGTCCTTCACGACTCCCTGGCTGGGTTCCGAGAGATGGTGCAACACAGTGGCTAGAGACGTTATCAGATATGGCTCAGAATAGAAGCCAGTGGCGATCCTGCTGTAACCTTCTTCTACTTTCTTCATAAAGAGTGGCTATAACTTTCCTAACTGAGAGAGCTCTTCTGGTTGTACATTTCAGTTTCCTCCATCATTACTCTTCTCTTTTTTTCCTTCTTTTATATATACGCATCTTCTTCCTTCTCCCATTCTCATTTTTTGTGTGGCGCATATGTATCCGGTGCCCTTTGTACCAATATATATGTGATTAAATAAATAAAATAATAATCCTCTTCCATATGATAGTTAGTCAACAATCCTTTAATATAAATATATTTTATCTTTTAATTCCTAATATTCATTTTGTAAAGTTGCTATTTTGATAAGAAAGTTATTTATGTCGACTGCTAACAAAGTCCTAATTTTGATTTAGTCATAGATCTTTAAATCTTTCTGATGGCAAATAATATATGAAAATGAGTAACTATAAATGGTCGATAATATATTAATGTAAGGAACAGCGCTTATTATACTTGTAAGATATATTTACATCTAAGATTTTTAGAAAAATCTGAGCTAAAAACAAGTGGTGAATGTAGTGAATACAACACATGACGGATATTAAAATTTATTAAAAAGATAAATAATTGCTAAACAATGTGAAATTATGCATACCTGAGCAAATGGTACAGTTTGTTGAGTATCATAAAACAGAACACTATCCTCCAATATCAAGCAAAACAGCCATCGATATGCAAGATTAAACAAGCTAGTACATTGGTTTGTGGCATTCTGACAGTTTAAGTTAACCTGTCTTAATTGAAACGGTTGAGGGCAAAAGCGAACTGCAACAACTGGCTTAGAACCTGTTGGCAAACTGACTACAGGACGAGTGAAGTTCGAACGTACAAAAATATGCGCTGCATGTTGAGGAGCAACTAATGGAATAGCAGTATCTACAATTTTATCTGACTGTTCAAATCCATTGGTTGAAGAAATCATAGTTGAATTGGTTGATCCAGCAAATGTAGCATCTTCAAGATTACCAGATGGGCAAACAAGAAGTAAACCATCCGGACTAAAAGTAAGACGTCGAAAAAACGACTTCCAAGAATCATCCTATGAAATAAATAAACGTAAACAATAAATTGAAGTGAAAACTCTACACATTTGAAACAGCAGATGCAGTCAATACATATTGACTGACTATCATAGATCTACTTTACTCATAAATGTAATATGGAATGGTATAATGATACAAATGACTTAAGGGGGTAAATGAAAAAAATGTGTGAATTACGTTTCTACGATGGCTACATAGAACAAAATCTTTCTAATGATTCCTTTCAATTACCCATTAATGAAGAATGTAACTAAATTAAAAATGATGAATATAATGTAAACCTTAAATATAATATAAGTATTGAAGCAAATAAATCAAAGTACAAAATATTGAAACTGGAAAGACAACTACTACAGCTATCATTAATTTAGATAAACTATAATGGAAAGACATTATTTCTATCCTTTAATGATAGGTAATAAGCAACTTTACTACCAATCATTGTTCTAGTGACTTTTGAGGGGAATTTTATGTAGTACGGTTTAATCAACAACAGAAAATCAGTAGGAATAGGCTAAATGGTAATGATAATAACATTCCATTCAAAAGTGATTAATTTTTCATAGTGTTTCTAATATGGGGTAAGATAAATAACATTTTTGAATTGTTGAACTCTGAATATAGTTATATACTAGGTCTTACATTATCAATTAGTTTCGTTAGAACTAACCATAAAACTAAAATCGATTGTTTAACCCAGATGAAAGGTAAACTAAATTTAATTAAAAGGGAATTTTTTGTTCTAGAGGAAAAAAAGTGATCAAGACAAATTAATGACCACTATTTCGAACAATATTGTCTAGCATGTTTTTAATGAAATAACGAAGAAATTCCATAAGAAATAATTCTGAAAAATCAACAGATTTCTGATATTAGCCACAGAACTGGTTACAATGTCAATCATTCCTTGTAGAATATCACTTAAAAAATTATCATATACTACTACTAATTATTGAAATAACACTTTCAGCTAATATTTCCCCTAGAACTCAGTTATTTCTTACAGATCCTTAGACTTGCATATTAACGATTGCTTTAACATTTGTGTTACCATTCTCAAGTTCATGTAAAGGTAAAGAAGTTAACCCAATGACCGATTGTGTCAGTTGAAAGATCATATTTTATTTCCCTAGTTTACGAGAAAATATTCTTACCTTAATTAAGCATTCTTTAATTCGTAAGATTTCAATAAAAGACTATGAAAAACAGTGAGATAAAATTAGAATAAATCTGTTGAACTACTTGTAAGTAGCCAAGAAATGTGTAGCTAATCCATTTTATACCATGTATATGTCGACTAAAAAAGGGTGCCTCATTTCATTATTTGGAATCGATTTGGAATAAAAATAACAGTAATCGTATCTATTTAGAGTGATTGCACTAGTTAAAAAGGAGTATAACTCCATGATTGTATGTAAAAAAATTACAAATAAAAACCGTTTGATCATATGCTTAGAATACAAGAAGACTACAACGCGTCATGGATAATGCTTCTCAACACGTAACAATTGTGGTATAAATATAAATCAGAGGCTTATGCTAAGTTTATATATATATATATATATATATATATATATATATATATATATTACTTGCCTCACTCGCATGATGCCAGATTATAACCAGTGTCTATTTTAAAATTTATTCCTAACGCAGTGGATCTGATGAACGTACTTGAAATAATCGTTGTTTTCCAGCTTTAGACACATGTGCTAGACAATTTTTAGTTCCAGCACGATATATTCGACAAGCTCGATCACTGCTTAAACTTGCGACATAAAATCCTAATGGATCCCAAGCAACACCTTGTACATAATGTTTGTGATCACGCAGAATTAAGGTCTTGATTGTAGGCTGACTGGTATTTGCACTTGGGGCAGGTGCATTCTCAGGTCGATTGGAAGGATTATTCTCTGGACCCACTTCTCCAACACTGCTGAAATCTTCAGCTGGCAGAGCAGATGACGGTGACGGAATTAAGTCAAGGTGCCAAATTATGATTGAATGATCAACAGACCCGGATATAAGTGCACGTTCATCTGGAGACCAACAAACATCGTATATATCTTCTAGATGACGTCTAGTTCCAAAGAAATACATAATATACACTTTAGATATGATAGAAAACGACAGGTAAAATATTTTTTGATCACATGGAAATGTTCATAGAATAATTCTAACGCTTAGTGTAAGTAATGTCCCTTGTAAATGATTGAGAAAAACATTTGCTGTAACACATTAACAGCTAAAATGCACACCTGATGTTTGCTTGATGAATAAATTGAATGACAAATCGATTCCATTTTTCAAATAGATTCATAGAGTAATAAGGGGATGTTAGGTAAAAATGAATTCTGTAACCAATCATATTAATTATAGAAGATTTGTTTCAATCACCCGAAAAGGTACCACGCTTTTAGTACGATATTTGTCAATTTGATCAGTGATAGATTATGTTGTTTTGTAGTAAGTGGGAAAAAGTCAACTACGTATGAGTAGACATTCAGGAGGTAAATTTTATTCGTAAAACTTTTAGCGATTAAATTTCAAGTGAATCCAACCTTTCGTTTAGTTATCTGGTTCAAGCTTTTTCAATGAAATATAATCAAACATCAAAATTATCGAATATAAATAAGTACATTGTTGTCCAGTTAACTATAATAAACAGATCATCCAATCATGTTAACAATGTTGAAATTAAGAATTTGTTGTAGTGAGTATGAGACATCTAAGGTGGGTAAAGAAAAGTGTGTTAAGATGATAGTTGTATGTATATGTAAGTGAATGTGAGATGAGAGAAAAAAATTTCATTGACTATACATCACCTCTGATCGGTGACTTTTTGATGGAGACAGACAATTTTATAGTTGATATGAGTTAAACATGTTACAGAATATATAAAATGACGATAAGGAAAAAAATTTTAAAAAATTTATGAATTGCATTCTGAGGGGATATATAAAGATAATGTAAACGTTTATTATAAATCAACAGAATAAATATAGCTCATGTGATGTAGTATCTGAAATTCCCGATAAAGTTGACTATTTGGAAATTCTTTAGAACTTCAAGTTAAATGAACTTACTTGATTCACAAAAAGTTAGGGATAGCATAAACTATATTTTTATTAATATTTAAGTCATGATTAGAACATTACTATTACACAGAATTCCAAAATATATCTAAATGATTATTGACCAGTACTCGATTTCAAAAAAACAAAACAAATGGTTACAATCGAAGGATTTTGGAATGTGTGTTACACTTGACCAAAGCACAGTGATGCTCTGGAACGTCTTAACAACAGCAGTTAATTTAAGATCGAAGAGTGACTGTATTGGTTAAATGTGTTGAGCACTTACATATAAATCGATTCTAATCAATGATAAAATCATAGATCATTTATACGAATACTAGCCTGATACATTTCTATTGATTTTCATTTTGTCAGTTACTTATTATCCTCGTAACACGGCAAACACTGGAATGAAATACATTTTTAAACCAGGTTCTAAAATAGTTAATATGTGTCCTTACAATATGTGTCAGCCCAAAAACATTACCAGAATTCATTCCAGAGAAGCGAGGGAAAATCGATATGAGGAAAGAAAATCAGATCAGAAATAATGATATCAATACTAGCAGAGAACTTAAATTAAAAATGATAAAAAATGTAACCTAAAATGTAACATCAAAATTCCAAGATAATACGACTCCTACGATTTAAAGGATGACAGAAGTAGAAGCGGACTGCATCTGCATTAAACCGAGACTTATTTCGAAGTAAGAAAACTATTTACTAATTGGTTAAACCGTATAAAGTCCAATACTGTTGATAATCAGTCGTTCATTTTGGTAGAGTCAGTCGGTCAGCTACAACATAGGACCAGGCACATACATGTATTGGTCCAAGTTGCTACACCTCATTAGCACAACAAGATGAACACCATATTCATAAAAGTAGTTACTTCAATGGTAGTCATATATAGAAGAAAGGTTGTGTATAAGGGTATAGTACAGAAAGAAAGATATAAAGTAATTTTAATCTCACGGTTTAAGGGAAGCGAAGTGTGTATGTACTTTCGCCATTGTGATCGATTTTCAGCCATATCAGACAAAGTCTCCAACCACTAGTTACGATAGTCATGCGGACCCCAAACAAGTAGTCTGCATCTACTGACAAGGCTCCGACCAGAAGTTAGTGACCTCAAGCTCTGATGTCACGTTTTGGTTTGGCCGCCCCTAACTTTCTTCCAACCATCCCCTATACTAGTCAGCATTGCGCGTCACGGTAATCAGTGTTAATGCATAAGTAACACGTGGCCCAACCATCTCAGTCGATAAAGATTTAAAACCTCATCAACCGATTTACCATCATTCCCTGATACCCTACATCCAACTTCACTATTACTTACCCGGTGATCCCAGAAGATGTTGGCGAAATTTCTAAGACATCTGTGATCAAATAGTAGCATCTTACGAGTATCTTCTACTCTCAATGGTCACGTTTCTCAGCCGTAAAGTAGAACAGAACGAACAACTGCACAGTATAATCGTCCCTTAATTGATAGACAGATATCTCGCCTCCGCAATAAGTGATGTGAGTTGGCAAAAGCCAAACGAGCTTTTTGAATCTGTGCAGAGATTTCGTCATACACAAAACCATTAGGGTCGCCAGATACACGGAGGGTGTATTTCATCGGCTGTCCATTTTGGCGAGGTGAGGTCAAATGAATGACCTCTTTAGGATCCTGTATGCGTGTTTCGGAGACACAACATATATCAATGGTACGACATTCTAGGGTTTTAGCTAAGGAGGCCTGTTAGCCAATTTGACACAGTAAGCGTACGTTGAAGGCTTCAATGTGTAGATTGGAGCGAGGTTTTAGTAGATCTGGGACAGTGTTTTGCGCACTAGAATAGTTGGCCATGGTGACAGTTGAGGAGGAATCCAAAAAAGGAAGTTTAATGTTGAAAGTCGAGGTAGGAGGGATAATAGGAATTGAAGAAGGAGACTGATTACGAATACAGTAATCTTGAGTGCTGTTAAAAGTATGAGAGCGGTTATCATTTCCAGGTTGTCCACACCGTGGAAGGGTTCTTTTGGAGGTACCTGATAAGGAAATCAAATTAAAAGTGGTCTTAGTGAGTTGAGAGTGTGACCACAGTGTCCAAGGAACAACTCCTTGAGGCTGGTCACACACCTCTTTGGAATTTTTGTGTTATCTCAGTACTTGTTGAGACTTTACCGCCGAAGACGGATAGCCAAGGGGTTACGGCGAGGTGTGTATTCTTAGGATCGACCTTTTTGAACCCCACCCTTCCTTGTGAGAAGGTAGTATCGATGTTATGCCGGTTACCTGAAGGAAACACCTTAATGCCGTTACACCACTGTACAGTCAGTAGTACGACTTCGCCCTCGGACCTTGAGTTTGTTGCTTTCTGTTTTACCACTCTTCAAACGACCTGCCTGGCATGGTAGGACCTTGAGAATCGATTGTTCCTGCCAGTATAGCGAGATTGGTTCATCACGATAGGCAACCCCGACAACCACGTCAAGGTAGCAGAAACGGTCAGAATTTTGATAAAACGTTTAATAGGCTATAATCAAATACATACAGACATAAGTTTTTTTCAAAGCTTTAAAAGTTAATGAAACTAAGTTAATATTGAGCTAAAGTTTAGATTTCTAGGAAAGGACAAAAGATTTTATTGAGGTCATGAACTTTGAATCATTGAAATGGTTGATTTATACATTGTTATTTAATGAGGTGTAAGTTAAAATAAGAATTCAATAGAAAAAGGTGATTGAGCACAAAAGTGACACTGATCGACAAAATATGCTAACTGTTGAAAATTGTAAAATTATGATATAAAAGTATGTGTACAAATTTTTAACACCAAATAAACGTGTCAACAACTATGTTTAAGTATTTCATTTAACTGCAATACATCATTTCAATTTCAAGTCATTGAAAACGTTTTCTATTCAATGAAAATCAGAATCTAAGAAATGTAAATCACGGATTGAATTACGGAATAACAGTTTATTTATTTAAACATATAAATTGGTACAACGGGGCACCAGATATATATGCGCCACACAAAAAATGAGAATGGGAGAAGGAAGAAGATGCGTATATATAAAAGAAGGAAAAAAAGAGAAGAGTAATGATGGAGGAAACTGAAATGTACAACCAGAAGAGCTCTCTCAGTTAGGAAAGTTATAGCCACTCTTTATGAAGAAAGTAGAAGAAGGTTACAGCAGGATCGCCACTGGCTTCTATTCTGAGCCATATCTGATAACGTCTCTAGCCACTGTGTTGCACCATCTCTCGGAACCCAGCCAGGGAGTCGTGAAGGACCAACAGAAGCTAGCCCTTTGCAGCTTTCTTTCATGCCACGACACCATGTCATACACTGACCTCTTCTCCGCTTTTTCCAATCAGTTCCAGTGTCGGCAAATAATGCACGACGTAGAATTTTCTGGGACGACATTCGTAAAACATATCCAAGCCACCGAAGTCGGTGTTTCAAGATGGTGACACCAATTGAATTATCGTCTCTGCGCCCGAACACACGATGCCGAACCTCTGAATTACTAACATGATGTTGCCACTGAATGTCAGCAATCCTTCGGAGACAACGATGATCGAACACAGAGAGACGTCTAACATCCTCAACTCGGAGGGGCCATGTTTCACAAGCATAGAGCAAAACTGCTCTCACCGACGCGTTGTAGATCCGACCTTTTACAGCCAGACTAACATCACGAAGGCGCCAAAGATGGCCCAGATTGGCATAAGCCGTTCTGGCTTTCATTATACGTGCATCAATCTCATCACTGACGCTACCACCAGCACTTATATAGCTACCTCGATACACGAACTTCTCAACTACTTCGATCTGCTCACCATCCAGGGTGAGTGCAGGATGAGAATCCTGCCAGTCTTGTAGGATTACCTTGCACTTGGAGGGTGCAAAGCACATGCCGTACCTGCGGACACTGATTGCCAACTGATTAAGTGCGGATTGCATGCCTTGTACATTATCGCACAGTAAAACAATATCATCCGCATACTCGAGGTCGAGAAGTCATTCTCCAGGCAGCAGATCCACACCGCCATTACTTACATCCATCAGAGCTGTTTCCAGAATATAATCGATGGCAAAGTTGAAGAGGAATGATGAGATTCGGCAACCCTGTCTAACCTCAATGCTCGAATGGAACAAGGGAGAAAGGTGGTTGTATGCCCTCACTCTGCCTGAGGTGTTCGTATACAGGGCGTTTAAGATGTTAATGAACTTCTCAGGCACACCCTTCTTCAATAGACAATCCCAGAGAACAGTCCTGTCCAACGAATCGAAGGCAGTCCTGATATCAAGAAACACTACGACTGTTGGCCTGCGATAAGTATGACGGTGTTCTAACATTTGGCGGAGGGTGAAGATGTGATCAATGCATCCTCGACCAGAACGAAAACCAGCCTGGTCCTCGCGAGTCAATCGTTCTCGGGTTTTAAACAACCTACGAAGAATGATAGAAGCCAATAGTTTGGACGCAATCGGAAGAAGACTTATCCCTCGATAGTTATCACAGGAACAACGTGAACCCTTTTTAAAGATAGGGACGACTATCGACTCATTCCATGATGTTGGAACACTTTCTTGCTCCCAAACCTTTGCAAACAATGCAGTGAGTTCCTTAGCAAGAAAATCACCACCATCTTTAAGAAGAGCCGGAGGTAAGTCATCTGGTCCCGGTGATTTGTAACGTTTCAAGAGTTGGATTTCCTTGAGGACTTCCGCCTCATTTAGTGAAGCAGCCGTCACCGACCATGGAGGGGGGCAGGACAATCTGATCGGTATTGCCGGAGCAGCAGGCCAGTTGGACTGCCCCCCCTAAATGCCCAAGTACGGCCGAAAGTGAGGAGGGGCCACCCTCTCTCTCGGAATACTCTCACATGGCCACGCGTATATAGCCTCTAAAAGGGAAGTCCTACTCACTGCCTTCTCGTGGCATTACTGTTGTTCACGAAAGTGAGAGGATGGAAAGCGAATGTCCGGTGCTTTATCCGGGTTGGTGGACACGTTGAGTCCACCTAGGGAAGTTGGAAAACCCTGATTCAAAACTAATGGTGCACATGGGCTCCAGTATCCTGAGGGAACAAATGGCGTATGAATCAATCGTTGGTCACCGGCTACCATGGGATTGCATCTCCTCACGATGCTCCACTGCCTTGTGGGTTAGACCTTTAGGTCAAAGGCTAGGGGTGTGGCTCCTTAAGAAAACCACCTGCTTTGGTCTGGGCACCCGGGCAGTATCACAGCTCACACGCAGACAAATGACAATATTTACTGAAATAACAATAAATATGCATCATAATTTAGAAAAAATATGCAGAGATTTTTATACTTGTAAATCTAATTCACGTACAACATTTAATTTAAGTAAACTATTAAGACAGATCAAGCCCAGTATATACGAAACAATTTGTAAGTCAACAAGAAATGTAAAAGTTACACAAATAAATCATTTCATGAGGGATACAGAGAATAAAAGAACTCTTGTTGTAAATAATGAATAAGTAGTTTAACACCTAAACTAGTTACTGATACGCATTAACACCTTATTTAATAATTTTTTTTTCAAAATAATTTATTTAATTTAAACGATCTAAAAGCAGCCTAATGTGAAATAGTTATATGAAATATAAATTTTTCCAACAAAATATTATGTTAAATCTTAATATTGATCATATATAACACTTGGATATTCTAACCTTAAACTTCGACAAGGAATCCATATTTCCGAATTAATAGCATTATCATAATAATCATCGTCATCTTTTAAATTGGATGAATTATCTATCGAAGTGATCGTTCCATTATTGGTAGTCGTTTGATTCGACCATATTATAATGAATAAATCATCTCCAGCT